AGAGTGCTGGGACTAAGGCGTCCACCACCACTCCCGGCTTGTTTTTTTTCTTATTATTGTAGGAATTGAGCATTTTAAAACCTTTATTCTGAATAAGTAATTGATTTGTATCTTAAGCACATTATGATAGATATCTTTCATCAAATTTTTTAGATTAGGTCTTATTTTTAAACTCATCAAGTGTTCATTGGTCATTAAGAAAGTATAAAACAGTGCCATTTGATGATTAGGAGTTACAGTTGTTAATTTGAAGTTACTTTTTATAGATGTTTTATCCCTTGTAAATTACTGCAAGCCTTCTGAAAGTTACACTATTATTACTCTGTTATTAATACATTGTTTTTTCTTTTTTTTTGAGACAAGTTTTTGCTACATAGTCTAGGCTGGCCTTGAACTTGTGATCCTCCTGCTTCGGGCTCCTGAGTGCCGAAATTAAAGGCAGGTGGCACCTACCCATGGAGCTGCTTGATTTTTGAATAAATTCCTTTCCAAGGTTAAAAGAAACTGAGTCCTATCAGTTAAATAAGAGTTTTCAGGTGCTTCAAACTTGTTTAAAAAACACAAGCACTGTTATAAAATTAGCAAGAATTTTCTATTTTTGGCTGAAAACAGGTTCCTAGCAGATTTCAAGAGAGTTTTAAGGGGGCTGGAGAGATGACTCAGGGTTAAAGAGCAGTAGTTGTTCTTGCAGAAGACCCAGGTTCAGTTCCAGCACCTACATGGTGGCTAACAACCATCCATAACTAGTTCCAGGAAATTCAACACCTTCTTAACCTCTGTGGGCATTGCATGCATAGTGTACTTATATACATGCAGGCAAAACACTCATACACATGAAATAAAAATAAATGAATAAGCCAGGCATAGTGGCACATGCCTTTAATCCCAGCACTTAGGAGGCAGATAAAGGTGGACCTCGGAATTTGAGGCCAACCTGGTCTATGTAGTAAGTTCCACAGGGTCTCCCTGTCTCAAAAAAAAAAAAAGGCACATAAAAAGGGATGAGGGTATAGCTCAGTGAAAGAACACTGCTTCAAATGTTCTAGGCCCTAGGTTCATTGCCTTGAACCTAAAAAATAAAGAATAAATAAAGAGCGCTTTAAAGGTTCTGTTTGATTCTTAGTGGGTAAATCTGGCTTTAAGAAGTCTGTTCCTATTAATGTCAAAGAGGACCACAAAATTCTCAGTGAACAAACTAACCTAATGAATGTTCATAAAAATGAGACCACATATTATTTGGTTGTATTTTGTTGTTACTTTGCATTCTGCATCATAAAACTTTTCTACCAACTTCCATCTCCCACAAACAGGAAAAAGCAAAACTACAAAAAAACTCCACAACAAATACAAAAGAGTTCTAGACTTAGTGTAGTTCAGATTGTCTGTGATGATCAGTGATAAAATTTCACTGATCATTAAAATGGAGAAACAGTTGAACATTTTAAATTAAAACTATGTAAAAAAAGTATACTGTACCCCAGGATCTTCAACAAGAGTCACAACTCTTCCAGGCTGTTATGAAAAAGGTAGAAAAAAAGCATTTTTTTCTGAATTAAATTATAAACATTAAAAGCTTGTCACAGAGTAAATAAAGCTTTACTACATTTAAGAAGCACTTTACCTAGAGGACCGAAAACATTATCTAGCAGTTTCTGATTGTGTAGGGCTGCATCCTGAGAATAGGTAACATCTCAGGTGATCTGATGGAACTGATTTGGAGTTTATAGTTTTAGAGCCCTGCTAGCAGGTTGAACTAAGGTCTTGGGTATGAGCAGATGAGTGATTTTACACTTCTAAGTTAGGAAGTACCTTACTTTTGTATATGCCAGCGGATGTCTCAAGGTTGCTGCTGTTTTACCTTCATAAATGAACTTTACAATGCCTTATAGAAAGGCTAACAGAATTGATTTTGTGTGTGTGTGTGTGTGTGTGTGTGTTTAATACAATGCCTAATGTAACCCAGAGTGGCTTCAAACTCCCAAGTGCTGGGATTATAGGTATTTGCAACCTACTCTTTGAGTTTGTAACAGAGGATCCTTCATGTAAGAGAGACGATTCAGACAGATGACTGGAAAATAGCACAGAGTCAGATCTGTAAAGCCAGAGAATGGAATTGAGGACTGGCGGTACAGTCAGTAAGTATTACTTGCCTGTCTGGGGCCCTGGGGGGTGGGGCAGAATTGAAATTATAAGGACAATGGAAATAAAAGCCACTGAAATGTGGGAGAAATTGAAAACTGAAAATGTAGCACTTGAGTATCAGGATATAGGTATCATAAAAGAAATATTTTTGGAAAGATCTGATTGGTAAAATGTATAGTATTCAAATTAGAATGGAAGGAGGAAGAAATAGAATGCTAAGTGAGAAATGTTAGCAGTCAAGCTGACAAGTTCTGTACACCAGCTCTCCTTGTCCTCCCCTTCCATCTGGCTCATCCATTTCTCATAGTTGTCTTTGTTTTTTTGACAGAGTCTCCCTAATCCCAGCCTGCCTGGATGTCACTATGTGGACCAGACTGGCCTTGATCTCACAGAGATCCACCTGCCTCTGCCATCTTGAGTGCTGGGATTAAAGATGTGTACCATCATGCCTGGCTTATAGTTGTCTTTTAAGATTATTTGTGTGTGTGTGTGTGTGTGTGTGCATCTGCCTGTGAGTACAATGCCCATAGAGGCCAGAAGAGGGCATTGGATCCACTGGAGCTGGTGGTTGTGAGTGGCCTGATGTGGGTGCTGGGAACTGACCTCAGGTCCTCTGTAAGGGCAGTATCTTCTCTTAACTGTGGAGCTGTCTCTACCTGTTTTGTTTTTTTTTATTCTTCAGTCACCTCCTTAGTGATTTCTCTGCCTGCCTCTGATTTTGCTTCCCTCTAGTCTATTCTGAATTCAGGCTTAGACTAGCTTTCTGGTTTTGAATCTTTCAAGGTTGTGATACTGTACAGGATAAAGTAAAAATTCCTTAGCATGACTTAAACTGATACACCTTCCTTTCTTTCCATTTTCCCCTTCAAGCTATACTGACTTATTTACAACTCCTGCAGTTACTCATGTCTTTGAATATACTGGTCCTAGTATGGAATGGCCTGCTCTCTTGTTTACCTGTTGGGTCACCTGGCTATCTGTCCATAAAGTTTTGGCCCACTTCCTAGGCAGACTTAGCAGTTCCCTCTGTTAAACTCCCACTGTTTCTTTTATTCATTTCCCATAAAGTACTTACAAATATTCTGGTTTGCATAGTTGTCACTACTTAAGTGCTCAGTTGTAATTTTCAAAGAATTAGGGGTAAAGAAGGCTTGGACTTGAGCGGTGGCAGGCAGAATAGAAAACGAGTACAAGGGGAGGGAATGGTGGTGTCTTTTAAAAAATATTTTATTATTTTTATTTTATGTGTATGAGTGTATTGACTGCATGTAGGTAAGTGCATACGTGTCATGCAATGCCCATGGAGGTCAGAAGAGGCCTTCGGATCCCCTGGAACTGGAGTTAAGGACGGTTGTTAGCTGCCATGTGGTGCTGGGATTCAAACCTGGGTCTTCTGCAAGAACAGCCAGTGTTCTTAACTGCTGAGCCATCTCTCCAGCCCCGGTGGTGTCTTTTTTTAAAGAGGAAGTAAATGGTGTCCCATGACTGTTAATAGATGGTAGAGATGGGGACTACTAGCAGTACTGACAAAACTTATTTAGAATCTTTTTCTAAAACTCCTGGCTGGGCAAGGTGGTGCATGCTTTTAATCCCAGCACAAACAACAACAAAAATAAACAAAAACCATTTAAGCCCTTTGCCCCTAAAATGGATATTTTTTTAAAATTAAAAAAAAATTTCTTTTTTTTTTCATGGTCTTTTTGAGACATGGTCTCCCTGTAGCCCTAGCTGTCCTGGAACTCACTATGTAGACCAGGCTGGCCTTGAACTCACAGAGATCTGCCTGCCTCTGCCTCCCGAGTGCTGGGACTAAAGGTGTGCGCCACCATGCCTGGCTTAAATATTTTGAGTGTATTGCCTGCATGTATGTGAGTGCACCGTGTTGTGCAATGCTGTGGAGGTCAGAAGAGGGCTTTGGATTCCCCTGCAGTTGGAATTAAGGACGGTTCATAGCCGCAATGTGGGTGCTGGGAATTGAACCCGGGTCCTCTGCAAGAGCAGTCAGTGCTCTTAACTGCTGAGCTATCTCTCCAGCCCTAAAATGGATTTTTAAAAAATAAGAGTAGGAATCTTATGTTTCTGCATGTGCATTTGTGCATGTGAATGCAGTGTCCACAGAAGAGGGTGTTGGATCCCCTGCAGTTGGAGTTAAGGCAGTTGTGAGCTGCCTGATGTGAATGCTGGGAAATGAACTCAGGTCTCTGAAAGAGTAGTACATGCTCTTAATTGCTGAGCCATCTCTCCAGCCCCCTTAGAGTCAATATTTTTGAGAGACTGTGCTTGTAAATGCACCTTTCTTTGGGAAGGGAGCAGCAAAACTAAAGGGAGTCTTGGGAGTCTTTTTTTTGAGACAGGATCTCACATGGCACAGACTGGCCTGGAATTTGATATGTAGCTGAGGATGACCTTGAACTAACTTCTGATAACTACAGGCAGTTTATGCAGTGCTAGGGATTGAAGTCAGGGCTCTGTGCATGCTAGGCAAGCACTGTGCTAATAGAGCTACACTCTGGCACCCTCTTTCTTTCCCTTTCCATTCCCTTATTTTTTTGAGACAGGGTAGTGTACTATAGCCCAGACTGGCCTCAAGAATGGCAATCCTCTTGCCTCAGCTTCCCAAGTGCTGCAATTACAGTTGTGTACCACCATACCTGGCTAAGAAGGGGTCTTTCAACATGAATAGGATTGGAAGATGTATAATGAGTCATGACGAGTATTTTTATTGGGTAGTAATGTTTTTAATAATAAAAAAGCAAATAATTTTGTAAATTTTCATGCTTACCGCTCAAATTAAAATGCTTCCTTTGCTACCTGTGGTGGTACAGGCCTAATCCCTACCAGATTGGAGGTGGAGGCAGGAGGATCAGGAGTTCAAAGCCACCTTCAGCTACCTAGCGAGTTCATGGCCAGCATGGGCTACAAGAGACCCTGTCTGACACCAAACCAAACCAGCTTGCTTTTCTGAAGTTGAAGGTGATTCCTTAACATCAAATCTTAGTTTTGTTGAGAAGCTGTGAGTTTTATGACAGATGCTTAATTAAGCTAGGAAGCAATTAAAGTTTAATGAAGTTAAAAGGCAAACGTAATATTTTCTCCACTATACTATGTGGAAATGAAATGAGCCTTACAGTTGTAGATCTGTTTTTCTCATAATTAACTTACTGGGATTTATATTCCTGTAAAGACAGTTTATGTCCTAAGTAGTAAATAAGTCATTCTAAATTGCTGAGTAGTTTTGTAGTCTTTTGTGTTCTTGTCCAGACAGTTAACATTTATATAAGGCTGGCAATTCATTTTAATAAACAACATGAAGCAGAATTTCAGTAAGTACAAAGTCATGATGGGTATTTTTACCCTGGCTTTTATAGACCCGTTCTCCTTTTATTTTAATACATATACATTTATTTTGCATTTGTTATGTATGTGGGTGCTCTCATGCCACTGCTTGTGTGTGGATTGTCAGAGGATAACATCCTCTTCTCCCTTTAAAGAATCATGGACTACTGTATTGATCAGATAGTTTCTTATCAACAATCTGCCTGGCAGTACACATACCTTGATATGTTAAAAAACACTACACTTGGTTGAGACTAGAATAGCAAAATATAGCCACATACACAGTTTAATGCTTGGTCATAAAAATGGGAATCTGGCCCAAGGTTTAGTCATCAGAATTGATAACAGGCATTTCATTTAGTTTAATTCTTTAATGTCTTGAATATTATAACAGTCTTGGAGATTCTTTGCCTAAGACATTTCGGTTGGCTTGTGCATGAGCATTTGTCCTGTGTCAGGTTCCGGCAGGCCAGTACAGTCCACCTTAAAGCCAAATTCTAGATTTGGTTCAGATTCTTTTCATGATTTCATTTCAATCCTATGTCTTACGAGCAGGCACAAACTATTTAGAGCCTTGATTTTTTTTTCTCTCATTTAAATCTCTTCTGATTCCTGGCTTCCAGCATTTTAGAATATTGTACTTTTGGTTAATATTAATTTTCCCTTTAAAATCAGCAATCTAGCTCATATAAATCGTCAGAGTATCTTAAAAATTTTTTAAATTGGTACTAGGAATTGAACTCAGGGCCTCATACATGCTAGGCAGGGGCTCTACCACCAAGCTTTTGTACTTTTTAACACAGGGTCTCAAAAAGTTGCCTGGGCAGGCCTTGAACTTGAGATCTTTGTGCATCAGCCGCCAGAGTATGGGAATGTAGACCTGCACCACCAAGCCAGGCTAATTTTAATTTAGAGAACCATACAAGCATTAAAAAAGTTTCAAAGGGTATAAGTTTACCAAAATAAGTGTCTGAATTATCTGGATTAATAGCTACTTCATACTTATTATTATTTTTTTCATGAATTAGTTGTTTTTCAGCCAGTACTAAGCTGGTTTGATAAGCAGCAAGCCACTTCAAATTTCTGAACACGTACTGAGATGAATGAGCTATGCAGCAAATATTGTATGATAGATAAGTTTATACATTTGTAACCCAGGAGAACTTTGGAGAAGAAGGAACCATTAAAATAATGCTGATTTTGCACTGTTACTCATATAACAAAGTTAACGTAACTTTATACCTGTAAATCAAAATGACCAAAGTCGGCTTAATTGGGGATTATTTTGGAAACGGACACTTCAACCATGTGCGAGCTTGTGTGTCCGTGTCTCCTCTTTCGCCTCAAGAAACTAACCGCGGGCGTCTGAAGGCGTTAGGGTGTCCTGGGTCGGGGAGAGGCACGGGCAGCAGACCTGAGAGCGTGTCTGCCCAGAGCTCCGGGCGGTCTGTGGTGCGGTCTCGGGGTTGGGGCGGCCGGGTCCTTACCTTGCCGGGGATCCCGCGGTGGTCAGTGCTGCCTTGCCAGAAGCGTCGGCTGTAGTCTGTGATGTAACCGACCAGCTTGTCTTGGTAGGGGAAGTCCACCTTCCAGATGAGGGACCCGTACCCAAAAACCCACATCTTCCCGGCGGCTCCCCTTCCGGGGACGCCTGGCCGACAGTGACCGGCTGCCCCCGGCGCAGGCGCGCTGGCCTCCGAGGCGCAAAGCACACTGGGTTGCAGCCCTGGAAGGCCTTCGGCGGCTGGTAGGCGTTATTTTCCTGCCTGCTGGCCCAGCGCCTTCGTCCTTCTGTAGACACCCTGGGAGCAAACCCACGACCTCCCTGCCGCCTCGGGAAGTCGCTGGAGCCCGGGGTGAAGTGCGTGTGCCGGGCGAACGGCGCCCCAGTTCTCTTCGGAAATTGGTGGCGGGAATTGCAGCAGTTGTTTGTTTCCCCTTTTTCTGACAGGAGTGGGGTCGGGTGCCATCCGGATAGGACGCACTATGGCACCACAATTGGCGGCACCGCAGTTGGCACGTGGAACTTCTGCAGTGCTTTGAAAATTGGAAACAGCAGCTGAAGCAGCCGAAAATGCAGCTCGTATCTGATTTTTAAAAAATCCTCTATCCCTTTAGTTTTTAAATAGATGCAGTAAATCGACAACCATAGTTTTATACCTGGGAAAGAGCAACTGTGATTCTAATGGAAGTTGCTTACGTATTTAAACTACGCGCGGGACAGTCGTGTTCATATTTAATATTCTCTGTGGCTCAGTAAAAAGTGGCCATGCTGTCCATTTCTTTCCTTTCCCACTGCCCACCGTTCGTTTTACAGTGCAGCGAATAGTCTTTCTCACACGAATTGGTGCTGTTTTGTTTGTTAACGAACACTTGAGGATGAAACCGGAGTCTATACGTTCTTTCCTGAGCACATATTTGGATGTGTACCGTTCTGCTTGAAGACAGTTCTTTTATTTACTTTCAAATACGTTGTTTTTCCTGGATTTCCTCCTTTATTTAACAGCTAGTCTATTCTTGCAGGGCCATGGCAGGACTTTAATAAATTCACTAAGAACAAAAACACTAAGAAGAAAGTCTGTGGAATCAGTGGCGATTGGGAAACCTACTGTTTTTGTTTTCCTCTGTGTTGTTTGTACTTTAAGATTCATTCAAAAAGTTTTTATGTATATGAGTGTATATCTGCATCTATATTTGTGGTCCTCATGGATGCCTGGTGCCCAAGGAGATCAGAAGAGGATGTTGAATCTCCTGGAACTGCAGTGGAGGATTGTAGCCAGGCGTGGTGGTGCACGCCTTTAATCCCAGCACTCGGGAGGCAGAGGCAGGAGGATCTCTGTGAGTTCAAGACCAGCCCGGTCTACATAGTGAGTTCCAGGCCAGCTGGGGCTACAGGGAGATCCTGTCTGGAAAAGACCAAAAAAAAAAAAAAGAGGATTGTGGGTTTTGGAAACCAAACCTTAGTTCTGAGCAAGAGCAGTAAGTACTCTTAACCATTGCCATCATTCTCCAGCCCGTTAAGGTGATAATATATTATGTATTTGAGTTGCCCAAAAAATTGAAAATGAAGTTTAAGATTTTATGTACATATATATACCATATGCTGTATTGGTTCAATAATGGTAATTAAAAAGATGGAAAGGAAAAGAGCAGACAGAAGTTCTTAACACAAAACTCTGCAGGCTTTTGAACCTCTCATTGAACCTAGAAACTTATGGTTGGATGTGCATTTTTTTCTGGGGAGAAACTTGTTTCATGAGTTTCTCCAAGAGGTCAAGAGCTTAAGAAATACTGTAATTTCCTGGCTGGAGCTCTTCCTCCCAAACTGTTCTCTAGGATGCTCACTTGAACCATCATGACCGTGTCTGGGTATGTGAAGACAGAAGTAGTTTTTAGTGATTGCTGTTCTTGAGGATTTCTGTTTCATGGTCTTGTGTATTATTAGAGAATCCTAAAGCATCCGTCCAGGTTGAGGGAGTATTTGTGTTTAAAAGAAATCAACAGATACTACAAAAAAAATTCCAGCTTAAGAATAGCCAGATCTTGGGGCCTGGAGAGATGGCTTAGCAGTTAAGAGCACTGGTTGCTCTTGAAGAGGAACTGGGTTCATTTCCCAGCACCCACATGGCAGCTAACAACCATCCACAACTCCAGTTCCAGGGGTTCTGTCGCACTCTCTGACCTCTGTGGGCATTGCACGACATGGGTGCATGTACATACATGCAGGCAGTACACTCATACACATACAAAGGAAAAGAAATGCCAGGTCTTTTTATATTTTCTCTTAGTTGTAGTTTCACAGTGCCTGACATAATTATTTTTCTTATTCCCACCCTTGTTATTTTTTCTCACTTCACAAGTTTCTTCCTATTCACTCTGATATACACTTTAAGTAATCTAGAGCATTTCAGATAAGTTGCACATGTTTGGCATTTTACTGACAACTTCTTTTTACATGCATTGTTTTTTTGAACAGACTCTCACTGTGTTGCCTTGGTGACCTGAATTCACTACCACTTCAGGCTAGCCTTAAATGCAGAAAAATCTGCCTGTCTATGCCTTCTGATGCTGGGATTAAAGGTGTGTACCATCATACACATGCATCTTTTAAGAATAAGGAACATTCTGTTATCCACAGTGCTTTTATCATACCTCTTTCTTTTTTCTTTTTTTGTCTTAATTTTTTTCTTTACAGGTTTGAGGATCAGACCAGGGCCTTGTGCTTCATATGCTCCACCACTGAGCCACATCCCCCAGTTCCCCATCTGAGGTTTATGTATTGTATCTTCTGAGTCTGTTATGTTAACTAGTTTGTGTTAGGGATTGAAAGGAATGCTATTGTTATTAGAGCACATATCTTTTAGATTTTCCTTTAAGAAGCTTGAAGATATTACTAAGTTCTGACTTTTTCAGGTTATTATCCATTATTCTAAATCCATCAATATTATTTATAGCCAAGAGAAAAGCCAGTAAAAATTGGAAAGGGAATCACACCTGTTTTTACCCAAACACTGTTTTTAGTGTTTTTTAAAGTTGTGTCCTTGTTTGTGTGTTCCCTATGCAGAAATGTTTTCTTGTATTTAATGAACATACTTTTAAATTGCCATAGAGTTATTTGTTCTCTTTTATAAAATTTGCATGTAATTGTCTAGAAGTTAGCATAATTCAAAAAAAAGTATAAGTTACTATTCAAGATCCCCCCTCCCCCCAGTTTGGCCTTAAGCTACCTTTGTAACTTTATTTTTCTACTGTTTGTTACTTATCTAATCCTTCTTCCAAAACAAACTGTTCCCCTTAGTCGCTGAACCTTCCCCTGGCTTACTCACCTTTCCGAATTCTGCCTAGCGATGCTCTTCTGCTCATTTTCTCATTTTGGAATTCTTCCTGTTTAGTAAGGCACAACTCATATCCCTCCCTAAGGGGACACAGATGATTCTTTAGTTTGTATGGCTTGCCATCTTATGGTACTTTACATTTCTATCTTGGACCACATGTGTTTATCATTCCTATGAGACTGTCAACAACTGGAGATAGAATCTGTGCTAATGTCACCCTTGTAGACTCATTGCTGATCATCTAGCTGCTGCCTAACAGCTGCTAATTGAATAAATAAATGTTGGTAGTAAAAATCTTCACTTACTCTAGTAAGTGGACCAGTTGACACAGTCAGATTAATACATAGCTAATATTAGTTGTGAGGCTTACTGTAGCCTATCATTATAGCTTTAAAGGTGACTGTGCATAAATTTAGATCTACTACTTAATTATTACATGATTACTTTAAAATATTCATTATTTTTATTTTGTGTGTATGTGTGTATTGCCTGCATGTAGGTGAGTGCACCCATATCGTGCAATGCATGCAGAGGACAGAAGAGGCTATCAGATCCCCTGGAACTAGTTACAGGCAGTTGTTAGCTGCCATGTGGGTGCTGGGATTCGAACTCGGGTCTTCTGCAAGAACAATGTTCTTAACCACTGAGCAATCTCTCCAGCCCCTTACATGATTACTTTAAACACTTGCTTTCCTCAAACTCTTTCTGGATAAATTACTTAGAATGTGGTTCTAGAAAGTTTTCCACCTGTATTGGGCCTGATGGCATTTGAATTACCTAAGACCATAAGAAAAACTAAGAAGGGTGATGGGACTATTACTGAGAATGCTACCCCTTAGCAGGTAACTTTTTCCCTTAGACTCCTGAATCTTACCCAGCATGCTTTGTTAATTTGCAAGTCATATACTGAGAGCCGTATTGGACTTTGACTGTAGGAAAACTTGAAGTGAGCTTTGAAGGCAGATGATTAAGCTGTGGGCGATAATGCTGGTGTATGAAAGCTGACCTACTCTCCTTGTGGTTACTATTTCTTGGTTTCAATATATTCATTCAGGATGGGGCACCTGAGTGTTTAGCCCTTTTGGAAAGGACCAACAAGGGTAGGACACCTAGGATCACTTCTTAGCCTTTGTTTTCCTCAGTAAACATCTTTCATTCCTATAGAGGGTAAATGCCCCACTCCCCATAGAACACACAATTGGGATTCACTAGAGGTAGTCTGCTCTTAGCAGTAGAGTATCAGTTCATTTTGGTGGGGTATGAACAGGAAGTCTTCTGGAAAGAGCTGCTGGACATTTCCAGAGGGGGAAGATAACTTTAAAAACTTCTTTGATATTTTAAATTTCTTTTTGATTTTTTAATTTATTATATGTTTGAGTGTTTTTGTCAGCATGTATGTAAATACACCATATGCATGCAGTGCCTGAAGAGGCCAGAAAAGGAGGGTGTTGGATCCCTTGGAACTGGAGTTAAGGATGGTTGTTTGCTGCCATGTGGGTGTTGGGAACTGAACCTGTGTCCTCTGCAAGAGCAGCCAGTGCTCTTAAGCACTGAGACATTTCTCTAGCCCCTCCTTGATATTTTTAATAACAACATGCCTAGGAATTGATTTGAGAGTCTCTGGTTTGGCCTGTAGCAGAGGCTGTGGCGTAACAGGTAGTTTCTCCAATTTTCTCATGTGAGGGATGCTAGACAGACCCATTGTGATCTCTAGGAGTTCAGTTTTCTTTTATTGACTGTAGTAATGTCTTTCTACCTTGCTTTATAGACTGGTCAAAAGAATGGATTTTACAGAGGCATACTCAGACACATGCTCTACAGTGGGACTTGCTGCCAGAGAAGGCAATGTTAAGATCTTAAGGAAGCTGCTCAAAAGAGGCCGGAGTGTGGATGTTGCTGATAACAGGGGATGGATGCCAATTCATGAAGCAGCTTATCACAATTCTATAGAATGTTTGCAGATGTTAATTCATGCAGGTAAAGTAAATTCAAGGTATGGGAGGTTGCATCCACAAGCTGGATTAGTAGAATTAAAAGACAGTAATAAATGATAGTATTTGTTTCCCTTTCTGTAGTCCTATAATAAATGCCTTATCTATGAAGGATGGTAAGATTTCTGCATTGGATTATGATAGTGTGGAATTCCAGCTAGACATCTATAAATATTGCCCATTATATGGAAGTGTTTGTGCCTTGTTCATTCCTTTATTTTGCATTTATTTATGTATTTACTTATTAATTTGTGTGTGTGTGTGTGTGTGTGTGTGTGTGTTTGCTGTGCCCATACCATAACATGCCTGTGGAAGGTTATGGATCAGAGGGCAGCTTGAGGGAGTTGGCTCTCCACCCTGTAGGCTCTGGAGATTGAATTTAGGTGATTAGGCTTGGCAGCAAGCACCCTTTGCTGCTGAGCTGGCTCACTGGCCTCTGTTTATCAGTCGTGCTAGGTGATGTCACAGGGTAAACCTGCTGTTTCAGCCTAAGCATTTGGTAATTACTCATCATGTGTATTATTACTTTTGTTTAAAAAGGAAACAAAACAAAAGGAAACTGCTACTGAAATTGAGATTTGAGGGATTTTTTTCGTTTTTTGGATTAGTCTTTTTTTTTTTTTTAGGTTTTTTTTTAAATTTATTTTATTTTATTTTATTATGTTTGTTTATTAGAAGAAGCATTTCATGACAACAGCATTAACCTATTCAATAACATTTTTCTGAGCTAGGGTGCATCTCTTTCAAAATTGGCTGTACATTTCTAGGTTTACAGATGAATTATTACGCTTATATAATCTTTTACTCATTATAAACTCTATAAGACATAAAATTAAATGAGGTTTTAACGTTTAAAAAAGATCTCCACTTCATTGTTGAAACGTGCTCATTTTAGATAAGCAAGTTAGATAATTATTCTGCCTCCTTTTTAATATATTTGCTCTCCACCTTTCTGATGAGATTTTTACAAAGCTCAATTATAAAATATTTAATTAAGCTTATCATCACCTTTGTTTTTGTTAAGATAATTCTTAAATAATCTAATCTAAGCTTGAAATTTTAAGTTTTTCTAGAATGTTGGATGTCTGAAAATTTAGTCTGAGAATGAAATGACAAATGTGTGAACTTGATCCATTGTGTGAACCCTTCACCCATTCATGCCTAAATTCAGCTATGAAGGCTACTCTGAACATTTCCCCATGCCATCGGGAGTAGTCAAATAGGCTGAATGAGATAGATCAAGGTGAACTTAGTTTGTGTTGCACATTACCTTTAACTAGCTACATTTCTCTTGGATACAAGGTTTACTTTTTATTTTCCTGAAAATGCATGTATTATTTTTAGGCATAACTCTTTCATACTAATTTAAGTCACTCTACATTTTTTGTCTCTGTTTGGTTTGAGAGGAATAGAGACATAACTGTCTAATACCTATAATCCTTCTTCCTC